AAAAAACCTTCATTTAAAAACAATTATTTTAGAAAAGTGAAAAAATACCTAAATATGACAATGAGAAAAAAATATATTTATATATATACATGTATACGTATATATATATATATATATATATATATTTATATATATATATACATGTATATATATATATATATATGTGGCGATATCAAGCAGGCTGGTTTTGTTTTGTAAAAAACAATCGGACATGTCATGTATATTTTTGATATCGAAAATATTTTTATAGTTAATAAATATATATTTTTTTATTATGCTGGGAGTTTCTAATTTAATATATTGTCATAATCATTACGACTCCCACATTGGTGACTCACGACGATGGAGATGAAGATAAAGGAGTTTTATTTTTCGAAGATTTAAGAAAAATTGATTTTGACGCAGCACCATAATCACTGGTCTTCAGTGACGACCTATAAGGTATGTCCAGTCCAATCCATCATAGTTAACGCACTTACTATCTGGATCAGACTTCCGAGGTTACTCATTTGGTATACCCAGACCTCAGTGTCTATTGCTGACAGAAAAAATAATTTGGAGCCTGAACTTTTCATTGGAATGCAATTTAACCTCTCTTTCTCTGTTAACTCAACAAATCGTCTTATAGTGCTACCTCCCATTATCGGTGACAACGACGAATCAAAACAAAATTTGACATAATTTATTGGATTCCACAATTCTGGACTCTTATGTCAAAGAAACCAATGATCCTGATTTGGATAAAGAGCCAACTTCTTTCTCTGATCGGAACTCATCAGATACGAATGCAACGCTTGCAGAAATGGAAACTGTACCCATAAATTATGCATTCTAAACATTAAGTAATTCTGATATAACTAATACCAATTAGATGGAGGCTGAATCTTAGAAGTTCACCGACATCGAGGTACAGGAAATTTTCCACATGTTTTTCATTAATCAGAACCTTATGCAGAATATGGAGTTGATGGCAGGTCGAATCACCACATACGGTGGATCTGCTGACGAAACATGGAAATTTGTAATTAACCAGTATTACAACACTGGTCCGCTATAATCTGCTTTCCCACCACATTTTTATAACGTGTTTCCCTGTATTTTTTTTTTAAACTGTGAGATCAACACTGGGCAGGGAGTGTGTGGCGATATCAAGCAGGCTGGTTTTGTTTTGTAAAAAACAATCGGACATGTCATGTATATTTTTGATATCGAAAATATTTTTATAGTTAATAAATTTATATTTTTTTATTATGTTGGGAGTTTCTAATTAAATATATTGTCATAATCATTACTACTCCCACATATATATATATATATATAAATCTATTTTTAGTTACGGAATGCACGGCAAAGCTTGCATGCTACGTGCGATTTGCGAAGGATCCGAAAATCCCTTCACCCACGAAAACGGAATCCTGGGCGAACTGATGCACATAATACTGACGTGAGTATCGAAAAATCTCTATTATCCAGTAGATTAATGAAATATTAATTTGATTGTAATACTCATTAAAGTCCTTCTACGACAAACGAAGCCCTTAGCGAACATTCGGACAACGAATATCTGATGGCAGAACAAATCGGCAGGGAGGCGCAGAAGGACCACGAAAATGGACACGGTCAGTAGAATTATAAAAATAATAATAAATTATATATATATATATATATATATATATATATATTATAAAGCATGTGGATTATTTATTTTGTTATTATATTTTTAGAAAGATGCGGTAAAGTGTTTTCGGAATGCGGAATGCCTCTGTTACAGATTTTTACTGCCGTGCAATATTTATATAAAAATAAGATTTTTTAAGGTTGATTTGATATGATGAATAAATAGTGTAAAATTATATTTATATATGTATATTTTTTTAGAAGTACAGTGATAAACGATACATGTGTATTGCAATGTAGAGGTTACATTTATGTAACACGTGTGTGGATTGTGGGGGTTGCATTTACGTAACACGAAAGTGCAATTTATTTACGAAATTAAGTGGTACGTTAATGCAACGTGGCTACAACGTATCGCTTTATTATATACATATATATAGTCAGAAACTTTGCCGAAAAAACCAAAGCTCGTACATATTAAATCAAGCTTTTTTTTATATATTTAAATATAAACTTACAATAAGATCAGATTTACTCGTCCACAAATTTGATGAATCTTTGCTTTGTTATAAGGTTTGATAGCCAAAAATAACTCCCAAAGATATTATAGGCCTGTGAAAGAGATATTAAACTTATTATACAATTCTAAGTCTCGTAAATCGATATTTAAATGTATTTTTCTTGACACACTTCAACGAATCTTTGAAATAATTTTAAATAAAAAAATAAATTTAAATATAAATATAATAATTGTATAGTTTCTCAAGATAATTGTTATGAACATTTGTTAGAATATGAGTACATTAATTTTGAATACATATTTCTATTTTACATACAAGGTATAGGTACGTGTAGTGCTAAGACCATTTTTCATAGGCCTATAATATTTTATAATATATCAACTAATTCCCACCTAATATCTTTAAATTTCCAAAAACGTAGTTTTTATCAAGTTTCATGAAATGGCATTTAAATTTAAAGAAAACTCATTCGACTCAGAAATAGTCGTTTTCTTTAAATTTTGAAGTCAAACGATTCAGAATGACTTGAAACGTCGAGAAAACAAAATTAGCAAATATGATTTTTTTGTAAAAACATAATTCCCGTAGGGTAAGTTATTGTAATCGTCCAAAATCGAAAATAAACATTTTTGCATAAGTTCACGTTTCAGAGGTTTCTGAACATTCTAGCATACCTCATAAAAATATAATGTGTGTGTATGTAAGGATACAGTTTCAGGTGCACTGATCAACCGATTTGAATGGTTCAAAAAACATTCGATTTCTATTGAGAAGGGGACGTGCTGATTAGTTTATGGCAAAGGTTGGTCCAGCCGTTTCGGAGATACGTAGCAAAGAGTGCAGAAAATAGAAATCGAGTTTTTGAGAGAACGGAGCGTCCGATTTAAATAGTGAAAAAAACATTTTGCTTGTATTGACAAGAGGAAGAACTGATTTAATATTCATGAAGGCAGATCTAGCAGTTTCGGAGATCTAGTAAAAAAAGGGAAAAAAATGCCATTAGGCGGTCAAAAATGATCATCAGACATATGCACATAAAATTATCAGATATTTTAAAAATGAGAACTAATTTTGTTACAATTTTGTTGGGTTTCGTATCAAGATTGTTAATTTTTAAAGTTAACTTATACGGTTCAAACCATATTCAAAATTTTCAGGAAAAAAATTATGAAAATTTTCAAAAATATGCAAAGTTTTATACTTCAAATATGTATTTTAAATTTACAGTTCAGTTTAAAAATGTATATATTTCAAATTCGTTATCCTAATCGTAAGAAATATATCCTCAGATGGATTCATTCGGCACCTCTTGCTAATGTAAACATTCTCAATTGCCTTGAGTGATAAGATCCTCACTGTATATTTTATGAACGATAAAATATATAGTGATTATAATTATCTATTTGAAAATGTATAAAACAATTGTTGTAAATCATTGATCAATGTTTATTGATCACTGATTGTTTTCTCTCGAATATTTAATTCTGGTGTGGAAAGTTCAAGCAATTTGTCTTAAGGCGCGATGCCCTGCACCACTAGTTTTTAAATTGGTTTTTATATCTGAATTTTGTTTAAACACCGTTCATAAGGGTAGTCAGATTACCGTATTTTAATCGTTATATACTAGATGAATGCTATAGCATCCACGTCAAGTATTACGCTTCTACTTTACGCAATCTAATAATAGAGAATCAAATATTACACTTGGACAGTATAATAATTACAAAAAAAATTCAAATTCACTTTAAAATTTGAATGCTATAGCATTCATATCATTCTACATTACAATGAAAATGAATGCTATAGCATTCATGTCCGCAAACGTATTCACATAATTAACTTCCCATAGGGTAAGTTATTGTAATGGGCCGAAAATCGGAATTGAAAATTTTTACATTTCTCGACGTTTTGAAGGTTTCTGAACGTTTTGGCATTCCGCAGAAAAAATGGATGAGTGTGTGTGTGTGTGTATGTATGTATGGATACAAATTTCCAGTCACGTTTCCGGGCGCACGGATTAACCGATTTGAATGGTTCAAAAAACATTCGAATCCTATCGATAGGGAAAAGAGCTGATTAGTTTTTGGGAATGGCAGGTCCAGCCGTTTCGGAAATACGAAGCAAAGAGTGCAAAAAATAAAAATCGACTTTTTGAGAGAACGGAGTATCCGATTTGAATGATCTAAAAAACATTCAATTAGTAATGATTGGGAGAAGTGTTTAATAGTTTTTTGCAAAGGCAGGTCCTGCCATTTCGAAGATACGGAGCTAAATATGTAAAAAATGGCAGTTTTTGAGAGAACTAAGCGTCCCATTTAAATGATTCAAAGAACTTTTTGCTTGTCTTAACAAAATAATTGATTTTGGAAAAAAAAAATTCAACTTTTTTTTTTAAATTTTTTGCATATCGAAAATAAATCAGATTTTATTTTTAATTCTGACCATAGTTCTAATATACTTTAAACAAATAATTTTAGCTTTGCAATTCAGTTTATATAATTCTTATAAATATTAGACAATGTTACAATATTAATAATAATCTATTTCAAAATATTCAGTATTCCACGAACATTTCGTTACGGTGCGGGAAGTTCCAGCAATTTGCCTTAAGGCACGATGCCATAATTGCCTCAAGACAGAATTCCTCTTACAGCTAGTTTAAAGTTGATGTTGTAAATGAACTAAATAATAATAATTGCATACATTATAACTAATAGTTTAAAGAAAACTATGAGTATTTCAATCACAATTAATTTTATATTTGAAGCATATTAAAAACAATATATATATAATAAAGAAGATAATATATAACACTGAGGCACACACAAAGTTATAAAAGTATAAAAAATCATGCTAGAGCCTACTAATAATATTATTCATTAATACTTATTTTACATTTTTAAAATATATTTAAAAGTAACACACAATTTATACTAAAGAAATGCTTTGAAATGCTAAAATACTAATTGTACTTCATTTATCATTACTTAAATACTTTTTCCAAGAATCCGAACTTGGTTCGACGGGCATGACGTAACCTATGGGAATTTTGGAGCCTTCGGCATCATTTGGGGGGACTATGAATTGGTCCCAACAGGATCTAATAAAAGACACATGTAATAGATACATTTATTATAGACTAATTAATATTAATATTTAATGTTAATGAGTTTGTTTACCTTATCGCGACGAATTCTTGAATGCTGTTTATTTGAAAATCTGCAGCATTCTCACCAAACAAAGTCTTTTTCCATTCTTCCTCGAATGTTTTTGGAAACTGCTTTTCGTAATGGATGTTCAATGATTTTTTTAAATCTTGCTCTTCTTTTAAGTAGTGCGCTAACTTTGCTTCCCAGATTTCTTTTAATTTATCTGAGGAAACAAAATACATTAATAATATATATATATATATATATATATATATATACTAGCTAACCCGGCAAACGCTGATTCTTTGACAAATAGTTAAAAACTTGTTATAATTTTCAAAACTATTTGGCATTTCATACTTCAAAAATTAATACACTCGCATCATAGTTTTTTTGATTATTATACTTTTGTCATGTCATATAGGTCATATATGTCAATAAAATTTTCTTTCAAATATTATTTATTTGTTAATAAATTAATAATTATTTTAAGTCATCAATGAATAATTATTAATTGTTAAATTCATAAGTTTGGCTAAATCAACACAGGAATATTGTGGAAATAAATATTTTTTTACATAAAGATCTGATTTTTGACATTTGCATTTTATTTCAAATTAATTATAACTGTCAAAATGTTTTCTTTTCGGCCAAAATTTAATATAATATGATATAATATTTAGTTTGTCTAGTTTGTTTTTGTCAGATTCCAATGATACCCTCAGATTGTACTATTCCGTTTAAGAGGTTACAATTTCCTATAAGATTAGCATTTGCGATGACAATCAAATTATATCTTAACTGATATATTAATAATAATATTATATTTTAATTACACAAATTTCTTTACACTCCGATAAATGATTCCAACGCACCATAGTGTTTTGTTTATTTTAATTTTGTTTATGTCAATAAATTAAATTTTAGTCTAAATCAACGCAGTATCTTTATCTAAATATACAATTTTTTATATAAATATTTGATTTTTTACTTTTGCATTTAATTGAAAAATAGTGAATGTCAATTTCATATATCCAATATGCACTAAATTTATAAATGTCAAAATATTTCCTTCTTGGTCCAAAATTAATATAATATGATAATATTTATTTTACAATAATGTTTTGTATAATTTGCTTGGCAATATTGCCTATAACATAACTTGGAATAATTAATATCGAAATTTCCTTAAATTTTGACATTTGTCATTATAGTGTTTTGTTTTTTTTTTGGTCATTTTCTGTCAAAATTTTTAGAAATTTATAAAAATTATATATTTATATTTTAAATTTACTTTTCAAAATTTCCTATAACCTAAGTTGGATATATATGCACACGATGAGCCAATAAAATTTAAAATCGGTTCAGTAGTTTGAGCGTCCATCGCGAACCAACATCATGACACGAGATTTATATATATATATATATATATATATATATACACAGTAGAATCCGATTAGTATGACGCCGGATATATTGACAACCGCTTATTATGACGTAATTTTAAAGGCAGTTTGGTTTCCATATAAAATTTCTTAAAAAAACAGCTGTCTAGCCGGATATGTTGACCTCGCTTACATTGACATTTCGCTTATAATGACCCATTTTTGAAAAAAAATTTGGTCCAAGTATAATGACCGACATGATTTTACACCTCCGATAACATAGAGTTCATGTTTTTCATTGCACATTGTTATGGTATGGCACCACTGTGAACTACCCTTGTGTGTCAGGTCGCTACATACCTTCAGGTCTCTATGTTGCACGAGATTCGCGCTATGGAAACTTTGGCAACTTCCGGCATGGATGACCTCGTGCAAAAAATAAGTAGGCTTATTCTTGGTGTTTGAAATTTGGAAGCGATAACATCTGCTATAATTTACTGAATTAGTAAAGTTCTATATTTTTTACTATTTTTACCCAGTAATTAAAATTCAAACAAAAATTACAGATTTCTTACATTAAAAAATGCATTGTTATGTCATATTTTTAATTAAATTTGTCAATTTGTTAGTATGTGCCATTTTTTACCTTTATTTTTGTATTAAATTACTGAAATTAATAACATATTCGCCAAAAATTGTTTTTTTTTTCAGTACGCTTAGTATGACGACCGCTTAGTATGACGATTTTTTGCCGTCCCTTGAATGTCATACTAAGCGGATTCTACTGTATATATATATATATATATATATATTGATATATATATATATATATTGATATAGATATATATATATATATATATATATTGATATATATATATATATATATATATATTGATATATATATATATATATATATTGATATATATATATATATATATATATATATTGATATATATATATATATATATATATATAATAAATTTATTATTTACTCATTGTGTTGATAAAATCCTCATGATGAACCAAACTCAATTTCTCCCCTCGAGCCTGTGCAGCCTGATTTCTCAACCCGCGCAATTCTTTCAAAGGCTCAATAATTCCCAACCAGTGACGTGCTTGTGATATTCTAGACTTGACATCGCTTAATACTGATTCGGATTCTTTGATTTGTAATTTTTTCTGTATAAAAACAAACAATTATAAGAAAAAATAAACAAATAATTGCCTAACTATGTCTGTTACTTTACCTGTAATTCTTTTTTATGTTCGTTTGCAATATCTGCCAACATTCCATCAATTTCCTTATGCAATTCAGCCCGCCTTAAAATATCCTTTTCCATTCGTTCTCTAAATTCCTGTTTTCTAGCTTTAACAGCCAACCGTTTCTGTTTCCGTTTCGAAACACACTTAGCAACATTCCTAACAAAAACAGGATTGTCTAGTATTTCTAAATTTTCTTGAAGTTTCGTTTTTAATATCTCAATTTTTTCAATCTCAACATTCCAATTCTCCTCAGATATATCTTGTGCGTTTCGTCTTAAATTATTTTCAGTGCTACTTAAGCTTTTTGTTATGTATTTAATTTCTAGTAGAAGATTCTTCAAATTTGATAAACTTGCATGATTTATTTTAGTTGATTTGGTTTTAACGTTTACTGAATTCTCAACCTAATAAAAGATACAATAAAAATTAATCAATAACAGTAAAAATGTATCAATAATAATTAAAATGTATTCATTTATTATTACCTGTGTATTAAAATTGTTAGGTGATGCCATTTTAGAATTATTAATTCAGTAAAGTGGTGGTTAAATTAAATTAGCAATAATCGGTGCCTCCTTCAGATGGTGGCAGTTTTTTTTGTGCGTCCAACAAGAATTGTTCGGCTGACTTAAATTCTTCTGTCTCTACAAGATCTTTTTCGGTGTCCAAAATTGATTTCAAACCTTCGTAAGCTTTTTGCAACCTGAAAATAGAAATAATTTATATTCCGCGACATAAGCTATCTAAATAATCGTAAACAGTTTGTCTATCTTAATGGATTCTTGAGCTACATTGAAAATATCAGTTCAGGTGTTCCTCAGGGATCCATTCTTGGTCCACTACTATTTATTATTTTTATTAATGACATATCTGATATTATTAGCTGTCCACATTTATTATTTGCAGATGATCTGAAGTTATATCTCAAAATAAATTCTATTGATGACTGCTTATTATTACAGTCTCAACTTGACTATTTCCACTCTTGGTATGTCTATAACAAATTACATTTAAATATATCAAAGTGCAAGATTCTTAGTTTTTCACATAAGCTTTGATAGATGTATATAATCTTTAACACCAGCATTGATAGATGTAATAAAATTTCAGATTTAGGAGTTCTATTTGATTCTGGTTTGTTTTTCACTGATCATATAACTGATATTTGTAATAGAGCACATAAATCTTTAGGTTTTATACTGAGAAATTGTAAATAATTCAATCCTAACAATGCACTTCTTTGCATGTACTATTCTATTGTACGTTCAAAATTAGAATATGGTTCGGTTATTTGGTATCCTCATCAAATCAACAACTCTGATGCTATAGAGAAGGTTCAGCGAAAATTTATGAAATATCTTTATTATAAAACATACAAAATTTACCCTGAACGTGGCTTTGACCACAACACTGTACTAAGAGAATTTGGTATTCCTTCCCTTGCCTCATGTCGATTTATCTGTACAATTATGTTCTTATTTAAACTTTGCAATAATTCTATAGACTGTCCTCTTATTCTCAATCGACTATCCTTTAATGTTCCAAGGCTATCTACGCGTTCACAATTATTTTTCAATTATCGTACACCTAAATCTAATTCTTTCTTAAATTCGCCTATTCTACTTATGCCCTCTAACTTTAACTTAATTAATAATGAAATACTTAGATATTCACAACACTTCACCTAATAATCGAATAATCTCCATCTGCACAAGTTAACCTTTTTATTTTCTTTTCAAATATCTCATTATTTTATCTTATTCTGTTTATAAATAATATTGTTACATTCTGCATTATATGTAATTTTATGTTAAGCATTTTATGTTACTAACTATATATTGTAATTTTTTATATATTTTAATTGTTATTCATTATGTAAAATAATTGTATTTTTGAGTCCTCTTGGAGAAATCTGTGGGCTATATATTTAAATAAATAAATAAATAAATAAATAAGTTAAAGAAAAATTGCAAGGGGCTTTAAATACATAAAATAGTATTTTCCTGCCATAAAGAAGACTTCTCATCAATCTCTAAATTTTT